TTCATGCTGAGCACATCTTCACAGTATTTTTCACCAAAAAGAATTTTCTTCAAGTTGTCACATTTAAATATTCCCTGCTTCACCTGGCATGGAAAATGATGCAATATTTCCTTTTTTCTGCCTTTATTAGTTATTGCAATTTTGTAATTAGAGACATCAGTTTTGTCTTTAAATTTTCAAGTATACATCCCATAATCAAATGCATAACTGATCTTAACTAGTATAGGAATTATAGGTCAATCTGAAAATAAATAAAAACCTGATAAAAACATACACTTCCACATTCACAGAAGGTTACTGTAGTCATGCAAGCCTTATTTTAGGAAAAAGGATATCAGAACTTTACATAATGACATGCATTAAATACCTCTTCTGTATCCAGACCCATCTTTTAATTGTGTTAACTGCTGCATTTTCCACTAATATATATAAACTGTATACTAACAATTTGAATGTCCCTTCACAAGTTCCTTTGTTTCTGACCTGCTTGGTGATTTGAAAATTGGCGCAAATAGGCTAACACCGGATGTAAAGTCGGATAAGCTGTTCTTGGAAACTTCTACAATATTCTAGATAATTCAACCCTAAACATGTCTGTAAAGTAATTTCCCATGTGGCTAATGCTAATGCTATACTAAGAAAATACTATTGCAAGATACCAAGTCTAACCAACTATAAAGAAATCACAATCACCAGAAATGAAAGACTAACAAATCACTGCAGCTATTTTTAGAAACAGTGGTTTGTTAGTGGTTCATTAAATGCTATACTATCAAACTACTTTAACAAATCATAAAAATATAGTTTGATGGTAGTTTGTTGATGGTTTGATAGTAGTTTGTTAAAAAATATTTCCGTTTGGGTTATGAGAATATTTTCAAGGTTATGTAATCAGTGCTTCCTTGGTAAAATTATTCAGGTATAATGATGATATTTTACATTGAGGAAATCATGCGGGTACATGTATTGTTCTATGGGAAAAGGGGTAATTACTACCATATAGCGGGTTATTTTAGCGGTATGCTAATTTTGGCTTATTTTAGCATTTTGATGGTAACCTGCTGAAATTTTGATCGCTAAAATAGTCAGTATTCTTCATAATGTTCATCTACGAAGTGTCCGCTAAAATGAATTCTGCCAAAATTATTGGCATATCTTTGAGCAGGCAAAACGCTAAATTTTGCTACAAATTTTTTCATGATCTATTTTTAGATTTATGATATGATATTGGTGCGACATGGTCTGATGATTGTTGGGGATCCCTTTGGGGGGAAGACCTCAGCCTTTAAGATCCTTACAGAGGCCCTACATGTAATGCATGACAAAGGACTCATGGAGGAAAACAAGGTGAATATTGCTCTAAAATCTGTTGTCATGGAAACAATCATGGACTGATGTCTATTTTTTGTAGATAAATTTTCAGTTTCAGGACCATCACTAGAAACATTACCATAAACATTTACTTTGAAATATGTGACTGCTTCACAATTAAATGCATATCACTAAATGAGACATCACACTTTTAATATGTAAATGTATACAGTTAATTCTCGATAAACCGCCACCTTTTGTAATTCAGAAATCATGGCGGTATAACGAATTTGGCGATGAATTGAATTTCCCATCTTCTCGAAATCAAGTAGAGTTACCGTTCTTAGAAATACCAATTAGAGTTTCCATTCTTATTATTACATATATATAAAACATATATTTCTGATTGAAAATACTTCAAGTAATTTTTTTAATGTACAAATTCGCTAAAACAATATGTGCAGTTATGAAATAAAGACAAGCTAGTACATGGGTGTGCATTCAAATCGGCTGTTCTGCTATTGAAAAAAACATGCTGGGTCGATCGTCGTGATATATTGCCGATAGTAAGTAAAATGAATTATTATAACAGTTCATGTTAAAATTATTGTTTATTTAGTCCTTGTTTAATTACTTAATTGCATGTACCTTGCCTGCCTTTGCATGCTTTACGACAGGGAAAGTGTCAACCAAGTAGCCGCGCTTCACTGACCACACACACCTGTGGCGGTTTATCGAGATAATTGACCCTTAAAAATGGACGTTTGTTGTGAAAACAGGGTGGCGGATGGCGGTATGCGAATTTGGCGTTATAAAGAGAATTTTATATAGCAGGAAAAACGTTCTTGGGAAATCATGGCGGTATTGCGAAAATGGCGATGAATCGAGTGGCGATAATTCGAGAATTGACTGTATATATTTTCCATATCAAAAACAGTTTTGAGTTTGGTTTAAAGTATCATATGAGGCGCATTTTAAGAAAAATCCTTATCTCAGGGTTTATTTTATTTGTCATTGACAGCTTTATTTTGATTTGTAGGTGATATACTCCATAATTAATCCCAAGGCCATCACTATGGGACAACTGTATGGTAGATTTGATTCTGTCTCCCATGAATGGTTTGATGATGAGTACGAAGTATTTAGAAACAAATTCCTAGCATATAACATTAAAAAAAACCTGCTGCTGAGATGCAGTATAATAGTCTCTTGGGTCATTCACAATTCATCCATTGAGGGTGTTTCTATATATGTTTCTAGGTGTTCTGGCTAACACGTTCAGGGAGCATGCCTCTAACACATCCCCGGACAGGAAGTGGATTATTTTTGACGGACCGGTGGATGCCGTGTGGATTGAGAACATGAACACAGTAATGGATGACAACAAAAAGGTCAGAGTTAATCATAGTCTTGTACATGGAGAACAGAGCAAAACTGGTTAGATGTGTGGGTGTGGGTCTTTTTTTAGCTGATATAAACCTTAGAAAATGCAATAAATTAAATGTATAGTAAAATGATTGGACTTTTAATGATGTGGACGCTAATCATTTATCAAAATAAATAAAAAAACCAAACAAACAAAAGAGTGTGATCTTTGAATTGAAATCATGGTGCAAGGAGATACTTTCCTGTTTTGCCCCCTTCCATCATTTCTTTAAAGAAATATCATGATGTATATTATGTATCTACATTTAGCTGTGCCTGATGAGTGGAGAGATTATCCAGATGAACAACACACAAAACATGATCTTTGAAGCCATGGACCTAGAGCAGGCATCCCCCGCCACAGTCAGCAGGTCATTGAGTTATTCTAAAAAAAACTAATCCTTCAATCAAGAGGCTTTAATTTAGACTTCTCTTGTCTGTTTTGAATCAAAGACATCGGTTTTTTCCTGTTTTGTAATACATGAGAGGGAAAGGGTCGAGCATGAATTTTAGTTGTGTTTCACAATATCAACATCCATGTATCATGTGTTTATTTTCTTAAAAGGAAGTAGTCAGATCAGAGACGACTTTTTTGCAAATGTTGACTGGATATGGTATAAAGTGTAATCAGTTGTTCAGATTTTGTAGTAGTCAATCCAGAATTTGTGAAAAAAAAAGAAATGATTGAATTAGAATTGAAATAATTCTGGTTTGATACAGATGTAGTATGATTTACATGGACCCACTACAGCTGGGTTATAACGCTTTAATCAAGTCCTGGATTGAGCATGAACTCCCTAATAACCTCACATGGGAACAGAAAGACACCATCAAGGTACACAGAAAAGTGTTTTATTTCAACATGAAATGAAAAAAAAATGGAGTGAAAAGTTTCTATTGTTTCTTCATTTTTTGAAGCAGAAATTTTAGCAAGAATTCAATATTGGAATCTTTAGCAAAGTTGTGGCGATAGCTAAATTTCAATATAGCTAACAATATACATGTGTATTCCCACATTTGAGGTTACTTTTACCAATCAAGGCACATCACATGATTATCAAAATTAATTCTAGTCAAAATTAAATACCTATATTTAGAAAAAATTCCATCTGGCTTCAAATTTATTGAATATTCAGAAGAAAATACAATAAATTATATCTATTGATAGATGCTGTTTGAGTGGATGCTGGAGCCGTGTTTGAATTTCGCGTCTAAGTACTGTAAATGTCTACTGACGTGTCACCTAATGCATCTGACAGCTAGCATGCTGACCCTCTATAGCTGTATGATGGAGGATGTCAGGTAACTTCTTAACTGCTAAATACTTGAAATGATATTTGAAGTATCAGACATTTCATAGGCCAAAGTACCAAAAAATGTTATTTCTCACTAAATTACAAAACAGTAAAACTCGGTTAAAACAAAGTTGCTGGGACCTATGAAATTAATTGGTTACATCTGTAATTTTTTTATATCCGTATAAGAAATTTATTAAAATTATTCAGCTGGGGATCTAAGATATCTTCGCTATATCCCTGAATTGGCAATATCCATGTTGGTACTAAATGAGTTTTATTGTAAATAGGACAAAAAAGAAAAAAAAACAGGTTTAAACTTTCTTGTTGACCATATTAGCCCTTGATCATCTTGTTACCATTTACATCATACGGTAATATTCTACTCTTGACTTTTACAGAAGACTTGGTTTGGATGATGGTGAAGAAGAAGAAGAAGAAGCCTTTTGTAGAGGAGGATGAGGAAGGAGGGGGAGGAATGGACTCTGATGATGAAGGCTCCAAGGAGAAGTCCCTCACTGACCAGAAGATCATGGAGGAAAGAACGGCCATGCTGATCACCTACTTCTTCTTCTCCATGGTCTGGTCGATTGGGGGTACACTGGACGCCAAATCACGCACCAAGTTTGATGGAACCACCTCAAAATATCCAAGGTGATTATTTTTCTTGCTCATTGATTTTTATCAGATTAAAAGTATTTTAAATAAAAATTTATTATAATGATTAGGAGAAATCTTTTATCTCTGTTATTTCTTTAGGTAAACATTTTTATTGTAATCATTTAATGACATAAAGTGCTGGGTCATAAGCAATGCTTTAATGCATTTCTTTCTGCAGTTAGAACGGTGCTTGAACTCACACTTTTTCATTTCAGTTTGTGTATTATGTGCCAGACCTCTTTCTCAATAGCACTTAATTTTTCGCTCTACTGGTCAGAGACCAGAAGAGCTTATGCGATAGTAATGCGTCCGGCGTCCGTCCGTCTGTCTGTCTGTCTGTCCGTCTGTCTGTCTGTCTGTCTGTAAACAATTTTTCAAAATGCTACTCCTCCAACAGTTTTGGTCTGATTTCAATCTAACTTGGCACACAAGTAGACTACACTAAGATACATAATTCTGTGCATCGGTATTGATTTCGATGAGCGGTGTTGCCGTGGTTTTTAAAAATAGAAATTTCTGTGAAATTCTTTCAAAATGCTACTCCTCCTACAGTTTTGGTCAGATTTCAATACAACTTGGCACACTAGTAGACTACACTAATATACATAATTCTGTGCATTAGTTTTAGATTTCGAGGAACGGTGTTGCCATTGTTACTTAAAATAGAATTTTTGCTTAAATTCTTTCAAAATGCTACTCCTCCTACAGTTTTGGTCCAATTTCAATATAACTGTGCACACAAGTAGACTACACTAAAATACATAATTCTGTGCATCGGTTTTTGATTTCGAGGAACGGTGCTGCCATGGTTACTAAAAATAGAACTTTCTGTGAAATTCTTTCAAAATGCTACTCCTCATACAGTTTTGGTCCGATTTCAATATAACTTGGCACACAAGTAGACTACACTAATATACATAATTCTGTGCATTAGTTTTAGATTTCGAGGAACGGTGTTGCCATGGTTACTTAAAATAGAAAATTATGTGATATTCTTTCAAAATGCTACTCCTCCTACAGTTTTGGTCTGATTTCAATTTAAATTGGCAAACAAGTAGACTACACTTATATCCATAATTCTTTGCATCGGTTTTTTTTTTTATTTTATGAGCGGCAAGGATCATTTTCCTTATTATTGCTGTGTTAACATTTCAAGTCCCAACTGCTACTTTTCCTTTGTTTTAAGTATAAACCAGTAGAGCTACAGTCTCGACAGAGACTTCTGGTTTGTAATCTGGTATAATTTCACATCATGTGCACAAATACTATTGCATATAGCATATTTGTGTTTTCACCAGTATTAGAATTTGAACTGTACATATAACATAAGCAAAATAGCTGAAATTTTAGTTGTTTAACTTGCTTTGATCTTTTGAGACAATTTTTTTTTCCAAAAGCATGAAAAGCATTTTCCCAGAATGCTAAGCTTGACTTTAATTATGACATCATATCCTAAATGAATATTTCAATAGGGTTGGAAAAAAGATAGAAAAGTAAGTATGTAAGCATGAATTTGATTGGTCCATCCAGGTCATGTAACTAGTGGGTTGGGCCTTCATTTCATGTGACTTGAGATTTTGTTAAAAAAAAGGATAGGCTTTGCACCATACTAACCAATCAATTGACAAACTGTGTGAAAATGACATAAAATGAGATGTGATTGGTCCTAATAAACTGTCCATTACCTGATAAATGTGAAAATGTGAACACAATTGTCTTTGGGGAAAAAAGGTTTTGGTTAATTTTGCTGCATTTATTGGTTCATACTTGCTTCTTTTATATTTTAAGGTTATCTAAGACAAAGGCTCATCAAAATTTGACTGTTGTCTGTCATTGTAAACTTTTCATATTTTCATCTTCTTATCCAGAATCACTGGGCTAATTTTAACAAATTTTCCATAAACAACAATGTGGGATAAAGGGGATACAACCTTCTTTAAATAAATGGCCATGTTCTCTTTCAGGGGAGATAATTAAGAATCAGTGAAATTTTAATTTGTCTTTAAAAAATCTTCTGATGAAGAACTAAATGGCCAGAAAAAAATGACTTATAATCTTTAAATAAATCTTATAATGAAAGAACAGCTGACTCAGGTGAGCATTGTGGCCCATGGGTCTCTTGTTTTAAATTATCTTATCTTGTTTCAAAGATCCTTATAATGCTTAAGTTAGGTCTTGGAGAAAAAGTTTATAAATATAACCTTCTTGTTATTTTGTGTGCTTAGCTATAGAGACCTTAATGTTATTCATCCCAGTAGAATAATGTGTTGTGTGTGTTAACGTAAAATCAACTGAATCTAAAACATTGATCTTCTATTTAGTGTTAAATTTTCTTATTAGCTCTACTGGTCAGAGACCAGAAGAGCTTATGCGATAGTAATTCGTCCGTCGTCCGTCCGTCTGTCTGTCTGTCCGTCCGTCTGTCTAGCTGTCTGTCTGTCTGTAAACAATTTTTCAAAATGCTACTCCTATTAGAGTTTTGGTCCGATTTCAATATAACTTGGCACACAAGTAGACTACACTAAGATACATAATTCTGTGTATGGGTTTTTGATTTCGATGAACGGTGTTGCCATGGTTGCTAAAAATAGAAATTTCTGTGAACTTCTTTCAAAATGCTACTCGTCTTACAATTTTGGACCGATTTCAATCTAACTTGGCAACCAGTAGACTTCACGAAGATACATAATTCTGTGCATCGGTTTTTGATTTTGATATATGGTGTTGCCATGGTAACTAAAAATAGAAATTTCTTTGAACTTCTTTCAAAATGCTACTCCTCTTACAGTTTTGGTCCGATTTCAGTATAACTTGGCACACAAGTAGACTACACTAAGATACATCATTCTGTGCATGGGTTTTTGATTTCGATGAACAGAGTTGCCATGCTTACTGAAAATAGAAATTTCTGTGAACTTCTTTCAAAATGCTACTCCTTTTACAATTTTGGTCCCATTGCAATATAACTTGGCACACAAGTTGACTACACTAAGATACATAATTCTGTGCATCGGGTTTTGATTTTGATATATGGTGTTGCCATGGTTACTAAAAATAAAAATTTCTGTGAACTTCTTTCAAAATGCTACTTCTCTTACAGTTTTGGTCCGATTTCAGTATAACTTGGCACACAAGTAGACTACACTAAGATACATAATTCTGTGCATCGGTTTTTGATTTCGATGAACAGTGTTGCCATGGTTACTAAAAATAGAAATTTCTGTGAAATTTTATTTGAAATACTACCACCAGTTTTGTTCTTATTTCAATATACAGTCAATTCTCGAATTATCGTCATTTGATTCATCACCATTTTCGCAATGCCGCCATGATTTCCTAAGAACGTTATTCTTGCTATATAAAATTCTCTTTATAATGCCAATTTCGCATACCGCCATCCTGTTTTCAAAAGAAACGTCCATTTTTAAGTGTCAATTAATCTCGATATACCGCCACAGGTGCGTGCGGTCAGTGAAGCGCGGCTAATTGGTTGACACTATCCCTGTTGTAAAGCATGCAAATCCAGACAAGGTACACGCAATTAAATAATTAAATTAGAATTAAATGAATAAATAATTTTAATATGAACTGTTACAATGATTTTGTTCTGTTGTTTTGTTTAAAAAAATCATTTAGTCATTTAGTCACGGCTTCGCCACGGAAGCGGTAGCTGTGAAAGTACGCCGAATACGGTATTATTTGATGATCTTTAAACAATGCAAAGTTTGCTTTAAAATAATTATGCGGTATAAATTGTGAACGTTTCACTAACAATGATGCCATAAACAATAAATTTATTCAAGAAACCATTTTACGTACTGTCAGCAATATATCACGACGATCGACCCAGCATGCTTTTTTTTTCAATATCAGATGTGCCGATTTAAATGTGCAAAGATGTATATGTACTTGTCTGTATTTCATAACTGCACATTTTGTTTTAAAGAAATTGTACATAAAAAATTATTTGAAGTATTTTAAAATTTAGAAATATGTTTTTTATACATGTACATGTAATTATAAGAAAGGAAACGCTTTATGGTATTTCTAAGAACGGAAACTCTACTTCTTGTTTCCTTAAAGATGGGAAATTCATATCATCGCCAAATTCGTTATACCGCCATGATTTTTATATTACAAAAGGTGGCGGTTTATTGAGAATTAACTGTAATGTGGCACACAAGTATACTACACTAAGATACATAATTCTGTGCATCGGTTTTTGATTTTGATGAACAGTGTTGCCATGGTTACTAAAAATAGAAATTTCTGTAAAATTCTTTCAAATGCCACTCCTCCTTTAGTTTTGGTCCGATTTTAATATAACTTGGCACACAAGTAGACTACACTAAGATACATAATTCTGTGCATCAGTCTTTATTTTGTTGAGTGTCAAGGATCATTTTTCTATTGATTCCTGTTTTGAAGTCTCAAGTCACAACTGCTACTTTTCTATTCCTTTGTTTTAAGTATAAACCAGTAGAGCTACAGTCTCGACAGAGACTTCTGGTTTTTTCATTTAGTATAAGTGTTTGTGTCTATTTTCTGAATGCTTTAAGACAAGTTAAATGTTAATTTAGTTAGTTTTATCAATCAGACAGAGATTGAAAGTACTTTTTACAGCTTTGGATCCAATAGAAATGCAATTACAAAGACGTAATTTTTCACAGATGAACAACTGTGTTTCTTTTTTTTTCAATCATCATCCAAAATATTTCTTTCTTTATCTCTGGAATATCTCTCACAAAGTGTATTCATGATCATCATGACAAATCAGAAAAGACAAATATATTCAAAAGAAACTCAAATACAACTTCAACCCAGACTCTCAACAACAAGTGGGTAACATTTTGTTTTTGCAGACCCAAAGATCTGAAATTTGCCAACATTCTGAAGATCCCAAAAAACGGCTCTGTGTATGACTTTGTCTACCTGAGGAAGCAGTACGGGTC